CCAGTGTAGACCAGCCCTTAGTTGTTGTTCAAACCTTCAGTATAACCTTCTCTTGAGATTCACTGATGTTACTCTCTTTGTAGTGATTTTAATTTCCCATCTGTTAAATTTCTTGATATAGTAAAGAATCATATCTGTGTGTTTCCTTCTGAGCCTTCTGGTTAACTTTGGATCTCCTTATTGAAATACGATTCTGAAGAGGATCTTTCATTTGCTTTCATGTGTATCTTAAACATATATCAGTATAAAACATGTTTCTAGCAGAAGGACTGCACTGTGGGATTTCACTTTGCGTCTATCCGCACAACTAGCACCATTTTCAGCTATAAACATATGGTAGTCACTATTATGGTTGTGCCACAGTTTTGAGAATCTTTAGTTTGAGAATCTTTTCCTAACACTTATAATAAACTCTAGATTAGATTGTAAACTCTCTTTTGGACTATATATTCCTCTAGACTGCTAGGGTGGGATTTTCAAACGTACTCATTGCTGGCCCAACTCTGCCAGTGTGGTTCTCCACTTGTGAGGTAACTCCCTTCTCTTCATGTGTCATTATAATGCCTGCATCTGTAATTTTCACTCCATGCATCCGAAGAAGTGGTTTTTTACCCACGAAAGCTTATGTCCAAATAAATCTGTTAGTCTTTAAGGTGCCACCGGACTCCTTGTTTTTGGCTTAAGTAGGTACCCAGACTGCCAGCCACCTCAATTCTAGGGAGCCCCTCTTATTCACTACCCATTAAGGGTACCTGGGTTGTATCAAGAGGAGATTGGAGTGGGACTTTGGGCAGGGGCTACTCTAGCTACAGGCAAATTAAGCAATTGCCTAGAGCGGTAGATTTTGTCTAAGGCAGCAGGGGTGGTTGAGACAAACCTGAGGAGTGCTGCAATCCTGTGCACCAGGTTGCAATGCCACTCACTCCATTCTAGGAGGTAGCAGGTGGCCTGGACATTGAACTTATGTCTTGGGCAGTAGGTTTTCTCGAGCAGGCCCTGACTTATGAATTGTGGCCTGATTGGATCACTGCTCCCACATAAAGTACCACGGTGTTGGCCCTGCCAGTGTTTGACCCATCAGCAAGATCAGCTAGCAGGAAATCCACTCACCCATTGCAACCCTCTTCTAAAATTATCAGCAGTAAAATAGTTATCAAAGTTGACATTTCTCTGTCACTATAATCTTGAGAGAACATTTATAGTACCAAAACCGTGAACCCTTAATAAAGATGCTCAATTCTGTACCCTAGTGCCAGATTTTCATAATTGCATATGGTGTATGTGTAATTTGGATGTGGAGTTAGTTACTGCATGCCCAAATCTTGATAACTGTGTACGATTCTGAAAATTATTATTATTATTTATTGGATGTCACCCACAAATGAGCTTGCAACTCAATATTGGAAAGGAAGGAAGGAAAGTGTAGGTCCTCTGCCTCGTGGGGAAGGAGAGCTGATGATATCAAGAAGGCAGAGGTGTTTAGTGCCTATTTTGCTTCAATCTTCACTACAAATGTTAATAGTGACCAGATATTCAACAAAATCAATATTAACAAGGGGGAAGGAACGCAAGCCAAAATAGGGAAAGAACAGGTTAAAGAATATTTAGGTAAGTTAAATGTATTCAAATGGACAGGGCCTGATGAAATTCATCCTAGGGTAACTTAAGGAACTAGCTGAAGAAATCTTGGAACCATTAGCAATTCTCTTTGAGAATTCTTGGAGGATGGGTGAGATCCCAGAGGACTGGAGGGGGCAAACATAGTACCTATCTTTAAAAAGGGGAACAAAGAGTCCCCAGGGAATTATAGACCAGTCGGCCTAACTTCCATACCCGGAAAGATACTGGAATAAATGATTAAACAATCAACTTGTAAGCACCTGGAAGATAATAGAGTTATAAAGAATAGCCAGCGTGGATTTGTCAAGAACAAATCATGCCAAATCAACCTAATTTCCTTTTTTTGACAGGTTACAGGCCTAGTGGATAGGTTAGAAGCATTAGACCTGATATATTTTTATTTTAGTAAGGTTCTTGACACATTACATTCTCATAAGCAAACTAGGGAAATATGGTCTAGATAAATTACTATAAGGTGGGTTCACAACTGGTTGAGAAATCATCCTCAAAGAGAATTTATCAATGGTTCACAAATGGCTATCAGTGACAAACTGGGAGGACATATCTAGTGGGGTCTCACAGGGGTCAGTCCTCAGTCCAGGACTAGTCAATATTTTCATTAATGACTTGGATAATCGACTGGAGAGTATACTTTTCTAATTAGCGATGACACCAAACGAACAGTAGTTGTAAGGACTTTGGAAGACAGGAGTAGAATTCAAAAGGACCTTGCCAAATTGGAGAATTGGTCTGAACTCGAGAAGATGAATTTAAATAAAGACAAGTGCAAAGTACTGCTTTTAGGAAGGAAAAATCAAATGCACAAATACAAAATGGCAAATAACTAGCCCAGTGGTAGTACTGCTGGAAAGGATCTGGGGGTTAGAGTGGATCACAAATCTCAAGCTTCTTCTACAGACCAATTATACAAAAAAGCAAGCAACCTTTCAAAACATGTGGATACCAGAAAGGGCATAGAAAGTTCAGTTTCCAGAAAATATCTGATAAAACTACAAAATTCTTTCCCAAGAATGATTTCATATAATGACAAGATGACCATAAAAGGTAGATCAAAAACACCCAGGACTGTCATTTACATTACAAACATCTGAAGCAGGCTAGAGACCTCTATGTGCTATTACGTTAAAAAGGATAGCTCTATATATGGAGCATATCTCTTCACTGTAGCTCAGATTGGAACAGGTCAGATAATATTAATCAGATGTGAACAGATTGAGATTCTCTGCCCATTTAGGGATCATCCATTATTTTCATCATTAAAAGGACAACTGCTCTCATATGAAAGTTGGAGGATGTAAGGAGGGTCAGTGTAACAGTCTTTGATTCTGAGGTAAGGCAGTGACAGAGCGGCTTATTATTGAATTACAAGAGGTCTGCCAGTTTGGTAGACCAAGCCCTCCAACCTACAGTGCTCCGAGACAGACTGCCTACCACAGAAAATGCAATGCGTACAGCCTAAGCACTACAACAGCAATATTTGAGGACACACAAGGCATGAAGTCTATACAGAGTTCCAGGAGGCCTGCGGCCCTCAGACAGGTACAGCCAAGAATACAATATGCATACTCCTAGAAAAGCAGAAGAGACTTGGGGCCCGATCCAATCCCCATTAGTTAGTGGAAATACTCCCATTGACTAAGTAATGTAATAATGATGCAGTTTGCTGGATTGTCTTCTGTTTTTCTTTCTATACGTGGTTAGATGCCTTATAATAAAGTTTAAAAGCAACAAATCCAAAGACAATACATATATAACTGGAGTGGCTGAATAAGCCAGAACAGCAATTTAATAATATATTTGTCTGGATTAGGAAGATATTATCAGACATCTCCTGCATTTGCATAGCTTCTCATTTCAGCATCAGGTAGCTGCTGGCCCCTGCATGCAAACAGCTCCCTTCTCATACCCCAGCTCTCTCTATGCAGTCACAATTTCAGGGCAGCCTCACTTGTGCTCCTGTGGTTGTTATTCACCAATTAATGGAAATAACAGTAGATGGGTGGCATGTTTGGGAGCAACGGGAGGTCACAGGCCTAGATTCACAAGGGGGTCTTAGCTGCCTAACTGCCACTTTAGGTGCTTAAGTCCAACATTTTGGTGCCACTGGCATTCACAAAGCCACTACTCAGCTGCTGCCTAAGGTCTCTAGGCACCTAAGTTTCCACTGTTGAAGTCCCGGAGGTGCCTAAATTTCAGTGGCTGGGTGTGCATATAGTCACCCAAGGGCACATCTACACTTTGAGCTGGAGGTATAAATTCCAGCTTGAGGAGACATACCCACGCTAGCTCTGAGCTAGTGCCCTCAAAATGGGAGTGTAGCCGCAAGTGGCTAGCTGCCCAACTATGTGCTGAGCATCTCAGGGGTTACCCGCACACTCTAGGACACCCCATCTTTACCGTTCCATGGATTAAAGGTATAATCCAGTTAATTTTGGCCCCCACCCTTTCCCACTTCCTAGGGCTCAGGGTGTAACCTAGTTAATTTAAGTACCCATCCTTACCCAGTTCCTAGGACTCAGGGTGTAATCTTCTGTGGGTTTGTGGGGTCTTTTGCCAATGAAAGAGCCTTACACAGTAATATCCTTAACTTACATTTATTAACAGTTACCAAAATAGAATACACACGCTAAGCATACAATGCTCACCATTCCCAATAAAGCAGATGAACTTTTCTTGATCACCAGTCAAGATTAGATCGTCTGGAGCTCCAGTTTCTGCACGGTATGGTTGACAGGGTGTTGAGGTCTGACAGCCCTGATCTTGGACTGTGTCCTGGAGTTAGGTTCCAGTTTATATCGTTAAAACTTGGGTCCTATTTAGCTATGCCTTAACCAATAATTTTAAACTACAGTACTACAACACAGTATTTTAACCAGTCCTAGCCTATTACGAAACAATTCTTTAACCAATCATACCCCACCACTTTAGTGGATTTAAATCTTGCAAAATTAGTTATGCAACAAACAGAAACAATCAAAGAATCAGACCGAAACCACACAGATAAACAATGGAGAAGTAGAGACCATAAAGGCAAAACAATAAAGATCTTAAAAGCTGTTTCTTTATCTGATGATGGTGGGTACTATTAGGACAGGAGCGTCTTCTTAACAGCGCGATGTTACATTGTTTTGATGCAATTTAGATGGAATGTGAGGATGTGATTCTGGTTCTTCCTTAAAGCTGCTGCTATCCTGCTGTAGTTCCTACTGCTTACTGCAGAAAAAGGCCTAGGATCTTACAGAGACAGGACTGTATTCAGGGCAGCTAGCCCCTCCCATGGCTATACTGCTATTTTTAGCACACTAGTTAATGGATATCTCCTCATGTTGGAATTTACAGCTCCTAGTCAAAATGTAGACATATGCTCAGCCGTCACACTGAGGAGCAGGGACTTGAAGCTAGGTGACCAACCTTCTAGGTAAGCACCCTAACCACTGGCTTCTTCTGTTGAAGCTGTTCCGCTATGTAACAAACTATTCATTAGTGCATGGGGACTAGAACATAGGTTTTCTGCCGCCAACGTGAATGCCCAAACCATTGAGACACTCTTGCCCTATGAGTATTTGAATAGTTATATGTAGTGGGACAGCTTCAGCGGGGTGCCTGAGAGACATGCACTTCTGAATACCCCTGAGCCCACGGCATGGGGGATTCAGAAGTCCCATTGAAGGGTAGGTCTTAGGTCACACCCTTTCCTCAACATTTTCTATTGGCTAACTTAGGGCAACTCCCCACTCAGCATGCTGGTATTTGTGAATCCCTTTTTTAGGCACCTAACTGTGAGCCTGGGGGTCATGAATCCCATTAGGCAAAATCACCTACTCTTGTGAATTTAGCTCATTGTGCCTTTCTGAGACATATTGCCTTTCAGAGCTCCTGCTGGGGCAATGTAGTTCTGCCCTGTCCTCCAAGTCCTTGATTGTTAGATGGTATTAATTATTATTATTTGTATTTTATTATTTATTATATCAATGAGTGGTGGGGGGTTCAGATGCTCAATGGCAGAAACACAATGGTGTTTTGTTTTGAGTGTTTAGAAAAGGAAATCAAGATGCTGAGATGGGACAAAGTACAATGTAGCCCTGCTCTTCGCAGGGGCGGTGGAACTGGAGATAAGAGGGGTGGAAATACAGTGGGGGGCTCTGCCCCCACATAAATTTGTGCACACCCAGGGGATGAGCAGAGGCAAGAGTGGGACCCAGAGGGGCTAGAGTGGCAGCTACACCACCTGGGATAGTCTGGGGAGCAGAAAGTGAGAACCAAAGGGCCTGGGGGCAGGTAGGAACCCCCAGGACTCTCCTTCCCAGCCCCTGCCAAGTCTCAGTACCTCCCCATGCCACTCTCAGTGCTTCCCCTTCCTCCCTCCACCATTAGCAGGGGACCTCCAACCCTCCCCCAGTTCATATTATGGAACTTTTCCTTCACAAGTAGCCTGCCTGTGCGTTTTGCTGAGCCTGATTTAGCTGATATTGTAAAACTCTGTTTGCCTGAGTTTGCAAAACGCAGTTCGTTTAACACAGTGCTGCAGCAGTAGGTAATCTGGCGTAAATCTCTCATGCTCTTTCTAATGCAGATCTAAGGTTGGGAGCACGCTCTGCAGGGAACTCGCAGTGCGGTTTTTAATCTCCACTATGACTCTATTTGGTTTAAAGGGAAAAATTCTGAATTCAGGAAAAAAATACGCTCTTCTTCTATAGCATCTTTTCATCAAAGACCGCAAGCATTAGTTATTGAAGCCTCACAACAACCCCAAAGTGGTATTATTCCCATTTTGGAGATGGGTAAACTGAGGCACAGAGGTTGAGATTATTATTATTAAGTAATTAAAAGTAATGATCAAGATTGAGGCCCCATTTTGCTAGGCCCAAACAAACATATAATAAAAGACAGTTCTTGCCCTGAAGAGATTGCAGTCTCAATAGACAAGTCAGACAAAGGATGGGACGAGAAACAGGCATGTCACTTTACATCTTTTTTGCCTAAGTTTCCAAAGCAGGTCAGAGGCAGAGTTGGGAACAACACCCACGTCTCTTGACTAGCAGTCCAGTGATCTCATAGGCTATGTCTGCACTCGGGCTGGGGGTGTGATTCCCAGCTCATGTGGACATACTCACATTAGCGCTGATTGAGCTAACATGCTAAAAACAGTAGCACAGTGGTAGCATGGGCAGCAATGAGTAGCAGCATGGGCTTGCCACCCTGAGTAGGTACTCATGGGGTCCAGGCATGTTTGTATTCAGGGCGGCTAGTTCACGCCACTGCCTCTGGTGCTGCGGCTACACTACTATTTTTAGCATGCTAGTTCGATGAGATCTAGTGTGAATATATCTACACGAGCTGGGAATCACACCCCAGCGCCAAGAGTAGCCATATCCAAAGAGAGGATCAAACCATTTCCCACCTGGGTCCAAGTTATTCAGTCCTCAAGTATATACTGGTCCCCTAGACCCATTCCCAGTTCAGTGTCTCTCTCCCCTTAGGGAGGGCTTCCCAACCCTCTCTTCCAAAGCTGGGGTGCAGTTTAAAGTCTGTGCAAAAGCCAGTCTTGCTCCCTGCTTCTTCCAGTCAGCTACTGCTTCTCAGGATCTTGTTTCTTAGAATATCATTGTTGGATGAGACAGGGCCGGCTCTATGATTTTTGCTGCCCTAAGCAAAAAATTTTTGGCCACCCCCCTTTTTTCATGCCCCCCCAACCCCGCTCCAACTCCACCCCTTCCGAACCCCTTCCCCAAATCCCCAGCTCTGCCTCCTCCCCCGGGGGTGCTGCATTTCCCCCCCCATTGCTTCCTGCGCCCCCCCCCGTGACCTCCCACCCTAGCTCACCTCCACTCCACCTGCTGCCCGGGCGCACCGCCGCTCCGCTTCTCTCCCTCCTTCTCAGGTGAGGGATGGGGGAGAAGCAGAGCAGCGGCGTGTTCAGGGGAGCAGGCGGAGCGGAGGTGAGCTAGGGTGGGGGGGCGCAGGAAGTAATCGGGGGGGTGCAGGAAGTAACGGGGGGAGTAGAGGAACTGCTCCCCACTCCAGCTCACCTCCGCTCCACCACCGCCGCCTCCCCCAAGCGCCCCGCCACTTGGCTTCTCCTCCCTCCCAGCCTTGCTGCGCGAAACATCTGTTTTGTGCCTGGCAGGCCTGGGAGGGCGGGGGGAGAAGTGGAGCGGCGGTGGCGCACTCGGGAGCAGGCGGAGGCGAGCTGGGGCAGCGGGGGCACTTTTTTTCCATGCCACAGAGTCGGTGTCTATGATGGCTGGCGCCAGAATGCCACCCCTAGAAATGTTCCCCTTGCTTGTTTTGCTGGTGCCTAGAGCCAGCCCTGGGAAGAGACCTCAGGAGATCATCTAGTCCACCCCCTGCTCAAAGCAGGACCAATCCCCAGACAGATTTTTACCCCAGTTCCCTAAATGGCCCCCTCAAGAATTGAATTTACAACCCTGGGTTTAGCAGACCAATGCTCAAAACACTGAGCTATCCCTCCCCCTGAGCATTCCCCACTCACTGCAGCCACTGCTGCTCTTTATAGGGAATCAGTTTCTCTCACACAGGTGTACCTTCTTTAGTAGCCATGGCTAGCTAGACCCAGACCCCCCCAGCCATTAAGGGTTAAGCCACCCTGTTACAGTATTAATGGACATCAGTGTGACCAGACATAATGGCCTAACTTCTCTTCTGTATCAGATGATATGTTGTTACTTCGACAGTTGAATTATTTGCCCGAAGTTACTTATTAAATTCACTGGGGTTCCATGGATGTTAATGTGGGAGAAATTTGGCTTTTGCATCCTGTTTTATGTACAACATTGGTGGTATTGAAATCTGTATTATTGCTGTGTGCCTGAGAAAAAGCAGGATAGCAAGGAGGGAACACAAGTCAGGAATTGCTAGAGTGAATAGCCTAATGCCTGAGGTACTAGGGACTTACAAAGAGCATTAAAGGGATTGTAGATGGAACTGGATGTGGTAAATTTAATAGGTTTAAAAAAATGTGCAGTTTGCAGGTCATCTCAAGAGAAAGTATCATGTAAAATGTTGACCATACTGCACATAATGGGCCAAATTCTGCCCTCAAACTGCTATAAATCCAGAGTCACACCAGTGACTTCAGAGAGCTTTTACATTGGTCTAAGTGAGAGCAGAATTTATCCTTATGCGGATGTTCAGTTTATTGTTTGTAAATGTTAAACTGAATTCTCCCTGTAGCGCTTTCAGTATGAAGGGGATTTGTTGTCTCAGTTTACCTTGATTCCTACCCCCTGGGTTTTACTTTGGGGTTCAAAGGAAATTGCTAAGATTTGCCCAATTTTCACTGCTGAATTTTTCACGGAATTCATTCAAACCCCATAAAATTCTCATCAGCAACTGAAACTCATCCTAATTTCAAACAAAATAAATAGAGCTCTAATAGCAAGACCGTCACATAGCTGCTCTTACTTCAAACAATAGAGTAGAGCAGAGCTGCAGAACAGCTCAGCCCAGGAGGCAAGAGAGGCCTTTGATGACAATAACTAGCACAATGATACAAAAGATTGTTCTTTTTAGGGCAGCATCAGCTTGCTTTGAAGGCAACTAGGCCCAGATCCATAAAGGGATGTGTGTGTCTAACTCCCATTGATTTAAATGGGAATTAGGAGCTAAAATGCCCCAGAAGATGAGCCCGAATGACTTCTCTTCTGTATCAAATGATCTAATGTATCATCTTTGCCATGTAAATTATCTGCCGTTTTGAGCACCATCAACTAAGATGCAGAGCCAATTTGCAAGCTCTTTGTGTCCAAAACAAAAACTCTTTTTATAGCTTAAAAACAAGTGTGGCAAAGACAGCTCGTGAAATGGACAAGGCTGAGAGAGTGATGTTGTAGTGTATTACGATTGGCTACTTGCCATCACATGGTATTTCCATTTCTATCCTGAAATGAATTTCATTGTGAAATGAAACACATTTTCTGATTACTTTGGTGGCTTGTTTTGTTCATGAGTGAAAGTCAGTTTGTAGAAATGTTCACACACAAAATAAGCAATGGATTCATGAACATGGCCAAAAAAAAAAAAAAGTAGAGTGAGCAATCCCATATTTTTCATACCTCTTACAAGGGGCTCCCTCAGGAATTGAGCTGGAGACCTCTCCTGCCATAAGCAAATCCATTCTCCAAGCCCACCAGGCAAACTGATATTTGATGCCTAATTTGTCAATTTGTGGAAAAAGGCTACCTCCGTCCACTTCCTGACTGCCCTGCCCTACCAATTTACAGTAGGATTTTATATACAGTATAATTATGGTGCAGTTTAACCTCTTCCACAATGGCACTCACCATATTCTCTCTCCAATGTAGCTGGGACCCCTCTCCCTTTTAGCAACAAAAGTGTTTGTGACACCCGGTCATTAACCTCTTGGAGGTCACAGCCCTTCTGTAGGGCTTTTCCTCTCCCTGCCCCATTCAAATTTAAATAACTAAAGTAAAAGGACGTTCACCTCTTTCCTTGGGAGTTTTTAAGGCTCTGGGTGTCAGGTTAGTCACACAGAGACAGAGGCAAAAGGGACACTAACCACAACAGCAACTTTATTATGAAAAAAAGAACTTGGATTGTCTCCAGTGCTGGGCAAGGATGTGCTGCAGTATTTTTCACACAGTGCCACCTAGTGACCAAATGTTATCATTCAGTTTAAGCTTTGCACCACATCTCCCCCTTTTAATCTTTCTTCTTCTACATTTTAACAATTTAAAGATTATATATATATTTTCAAAGTAACTTTAAATCTCAACATGTGCCCATCTGTTACTCATCCCTAAAGCATACTGTTTTATTAACTACACAGCCAGAACAAGTAACAAATTGGTGACTAGCCTGTCTTTTATTTGCAACGGCTGTCTCTGGGACATTTGGAATAGATGAACCTTCTTCTCCTGGTTCTGCAGCTGCTATTTGTAGAGTTTGCTCCATTGATTGTTCATTCTTTGGAATGAACTGAACATGTTGACAGTTTCTTTTCAACTCCACTATCTCAATGTACGATCTGGGTGATGCATTCTTTTTCTTTACAACAGCTGGAGCTTCGTATGTTTTCTCCATCCAGTTTGACGCAAACATGGTCACCAGATTCCAGATCAGGCAATTCTCTAACTGAGTGATGTCTGTTGTAAAAGTGTGTGTAAGTTCTATTTGCCTTTTTATCTGATTTGGCTACTCTCTTTATGTCTGGGCACTCTGGAGACAGGAAAAGAACCCAAGTCAGAATAGTAGTTCTGAGTTGTCTTCCCATCAGGAGTTGCGCTAGAGCTAGGGCTGGTCCACACTAACCCCCCACTTCAAACTAAGAAACGCAACTTCAGCTACGTGAATAACGTAGCTGAAGTCGAACTATCTTAGTTCGAACTTACCGCGGGTCCACACGCGGCAGGCAGGCTCCCCCGTCGACTCCGCGTACTCCTCTCGCAGAGCAGCAGTACCGGCGTCGACGGCGAGCACTTCTGGGATCGATCCCAGAAGATCGATTGCTTACCGCCGGACCCGGGGGTAAGTATAGACGTACCCCTAGACTATATCCAGTTGCTGTTATCAGTGTTGATAAGTAGCTCAGAAAAGCAAGGAATGGATCTTTCTACTTGCCTCTCTATTTGCTTGTGAGTAACATGGACTGCTAGTGATGTGTTCAAAATCATATATTTGTTTGGAATTACTTCAATTCAACTGCGGTCAATTGTGGCTCATTGTCTGTCAATAGTTCTGGAACACCAATATGGGTAAATGAGTTCTTTAATTTCTTGATAACACTGCAACATTTTATATTGTTCAAATATACTATTTTCAATATATCTAGAAAAATAATCCACTGTCACTGGGTTATGATGTCCTCTGAATTCTCTGAAGTCAGCTGCTAGCTTCTTCTAGGGTCTGTCTGGTAGAGGTGGTTATTAGAGGCTCTTTGTATTGTACTGGTCTGTTAGTTCTGCAATGTTTACATGAGGATACTTTATTCTTCATGTCTTTGCTGATTCCAGGCCACCATACCAACTGATTGGCACATTCTCGGTATTTAGTTAGTCCTTGATGTCCTCCCAAGATAAGATCTAAAATTTCTCCTATCAAAGTATTTAATCAAAGTACATTAATCGCTGGTCCACTTGACTCACTTAAATATCTGTGTATATCAAAGTGGTCTCTTGCCACAGCCATATTATTCTTTAGATACTTGGGCCATCAGGGCCGAATATAACTAACAAGTTCTTGAAGTTGCTTATCTGCCAAGTTTGCTTTTTGTAGCAGGTATCGTCTCCTACCTGACACTAGTCTGTAAGCTTCCACAGCATCCTTGTAACCTTTACATATTCTTCTGGCCCACAGGTGTTTCACTACCATGCTGGGCTCCGTGACAGTGTGTCTGCTATTACCCGATTTTTACCAGGAACATATTCGGATATTGGATTAAATAGCATGAACCTAGTGAAAAGACATCAGCATCTTGGCGCAGCTTGATCCAGGTCTTTTCATTTGATACGGGTTACAAGATGTTTATGGTCAATTCTCAGTTTAAAAAAACCCAACCCACACAGATATCTATAGAAGTTCTCATATGTCCATACGCTTGCCAGGCATTCCTTTTCAATCTGCACATGCCATCTTCTGCTTCTGTAAGTGTATAAGAGCAGAATGCAATTGGCTTCCACTCACGTCCATGTAGCTGCAACAGTACACCACCAAGGCCATAGCTACTTGCGTTAGCCTGACCATTGTGAGTTTGTTCACACTGTAAAACTTTGAATCTGGAGTAGTTGAGATGATTTCTTTTATCCTTTTGAAGGCAATCTCCTGATCTGGCCCCCATAGCCGGGATGTATTGAACTTAATAGTTCATTCAGTGGTTTTGTCACAGTAAAAAGGTCTTGCAAATATTGGCCAAGACAATTTACCATCCCCAGTATGAGTCTCAGTTCTGGTACATTTGTTGCTGCATTCACTTCTCTAATTGCTTTTATTTTCTCAGGGCTTTGACTAATTCCATCTTTGCTTATTATCTGTTCCAAAAATTTAATTTGGTATAAGCAAAAAATACATTTGAGTCCAGACTCACTGATACAGCTAAGAACTTCATTAAGGGTTTTGTCATGTCACCGTGCCTCAGTGGGTCACAGCTGAGGCTACCAAATTCAGGATAGACTACTGAGAAATAGGGCAGACTCACCCAAACTGGTTATTCTATCAGTAGTTTATACCAAGCCAGTAACAAAAGTGAACTTCTGTCTCACCACACTGGTTAACAAGAAGGCAAAAATGCAGGTTCCTTAGGCATCCCAGCCCTTGGCTCACCACCCAGACACTAGACTTTATGATGAGTGGTTACTGAAAACCAATTTAATCTGTTATAGGAACCAGCCAACTAGCTAGGTCAATATATAACTCAGATCTCACCCAATAATCATGCTGATGCCAATCCTTTAGTAACTAAAAACTAAAGGTTTATGAATAAAAGAAAAGAAGAAAAGAGTTGTAAATGATTAATAGATCATATACATACAAGTGATTGCAAACTTCTTCTATAAGGTTTGAAACCGAACTTTTAACGGGCGTTCCAGTCGAAAACTGGATGTCTGGCAACCTTATTTAGTTGCAATATGAAAATGTGCAAACCGCTCTTTCCAATTAAGCCAGTTTGATGGTCTGCCAAACTGAAGCTCTCTGAGGCATGAAACTTTGCCATTTTGATGAAATTCTGCAATTTCTGTGGTTTTTTTCTTCTGACACCACATCAGGTCAGTCAGACAGAGACAGAGGCAAAATGGATGCTAGGCACAACAACAACTTTATTGTAAGAAAGAATGTAGATTGTCTCCAGCACTCAGCAAAGATGTGCATCCGTGTTCTTCAGACAGTGCCACCTAATGGCTAAACATTACAGTGTAGTTTAAGCTTTCCATCACGCAGGGCATGTCTAGAATTTGTCATGTTCTTTAAAAGGCCAGAGCCAACACTGGCATATGTAAATTGAAAAAAAAATCACTAGGGTTGTAAATGTTAACTCTGCATTTAATTATAGAATTAAAATGATAACTCTCCAATGTTAATAACTTGTAGTTGTTCTGTAAAAAATTATAAAACCTAATAAATACCATAAAATATTGTAGCTGCCCTTTGCTACTACCACTGGTAATATGTACTGCTAAACAACTGCTGCATTTCATCACTGAGGTGGCAGCATTTTTGTGGTGGGTGAAATGAATACTTATAAATATGAGGTGCAATCTGCAGCTGCTCTTTCTGCATAATTCCTATTGACTTCATTTGGTTCTCAATCAACTTCAGGACAATTGTGCCTATGGAGGCTACAGAATGAGTCTGTGGTTTGTCCTTTGGGATGTAAGCTGATTATTATTGTCAATGTATAAATAACCTTTTTTTATGGTTTGATACACTGAAAAGTACTTACAGTTTCTGCACAGCTATGAGATAATGCTTTTTGCTGAGTCAGATCTGTGATTTGTTACCATAAAGATAGTGCAAACTTTTTAAAAATATATATTTCGCTACTTAGGTTAATCTGTGGAAAAAAATCTAACACATTTCCTAAAGTGTAGACTTCAGAAAAACCTCTCAGACTAATAATAGTAGTGAACATTTTGTTCTATCCTGATTCTTATACTATTTCTATCACCATTATATCTGACCTCCTATCAGCCCTTTTCTTCTTCAAATCATTGTGATGCAGGCAGGTGAGTATTATCATCCCTATTTTATGGATGTAGTAAATGAGATAGACAGGTGAAGTGATTTGCAGGAGGCAGGCCATACAGTGAGTCATTAGCAGAGACAGGATTAGAATTCAGGATTTCTTGATTCCGAAGGCTGGGGTTTATTCTTTTAGATCACACTCAACCCACTAGCCAGTCTTTGTTTAAAAAGAACATTCTAAACAGAAACATGTCTCACAAGTAGGTCAAAGTGAATCTTGTCTGGGCTGGAACTGAAGCTGTATTTATTTAATGAGAATGTAGCATTATGACTGTTCTGGGACTAAAGTTATGAGCATTTAACATGACCAGTTGCTAGTACTGGGTGCCAAGTAACCGTCTGATTTGTTTTTACTGACAGATATTCTAAACTCACTCTGTTCAATTCAGATCTGAGTCATGCCAATTCCCAACTCTGTAATCCAGTCAAGGATATTATTGTATCACTGCAACTAATGCAGATTTTCTCTGGCACTTAGCAGTGAAGCACATGCCAGAGATTCATGTGAATCATAAGGAAACTGTTCCCACTCCCGAGTACATTAAGTTAAAGGAGAGAGCTATTTCCATAGTAACCACATATGGTAGGTCAGATGGTGACTTTCCAGATTTCCCACCAGTGGTTTTGATACTGAATTATTTATACAGTGAATTTAGCTTCTCAGGTCTAGTTACCCAAGAATCGTCATGTTAACATGTGGGAGGAAAGGGAAGTTTTATGTGTAATGCCAGAATTGCTTGGGCTAGATGGTTTTTATTCATAGATGAATCATCACAATTTTCATGGCGAACATCAATGCAAACAGTGAAAACTCTTAGGATCTCTGCTAAGTGCTTTGTGCACTGTAAACTAAGCTGAATATATTATAGGTGGAGCTGGTAGCAATGTCTATAGTTAAAGTTGCCAAACACTTTCTGTTATAAGGACCTGTGCTTATAACTTTGCTAAACTTAAACGGTTTGGTCTGAAATCTTCCGTGCTGTAGGGTCTGCCTTGGAAAGATTCAGCAAAAACAGTTTAGCCATGTTGGAGGCTGAGTTCAGAGAAAGATAAATTGTTTTGCCTATGTTAAAAAATTCGTACAACTTTTTGTTGAGAAGCTCTAGCATCCCAGGCTGCAGCAGGGGCCACGTGCCCCAGCCCCGCAGCATCCCAGGCTCAGCGGAGGCTACAGATGGGGCCGTGTACCCCAGCCCCATGGCTTTTGCCAGCGGCTGCAGCTGGGGCCCCACACCCATGTCCCTCATGGCTGCACGGGGGGCTGTGTGCCTCCCCTCCCGCTGCAGCCGGGGCTTGGTGGGGGCTGCAGTCGGGGCTGCACATCCCTTCCCGCAGCTGCGGCCAGCTCCAGAATGGTGGTTTTGCGCTTCCTGTCACTGCGCCCTCCCCTCTGCGGCTGCTGGAGCTGGGGCTGTGCCCTGTGCCATGGGACTCCATTCCCCCCGCCTACCTAGCTCTGCCCCCCAGTTATTTTTAGAAAAGTAGCGGACTGGTCAGCGGCTCCCTGAATTATTGCCCATGACCTGTTCGTGACTTTTACTAAAAATAATTGTGATAAAATCTTAGCCTTATTCATGAGTCTCAATATTCCTTTGCTGTCAGCAAACATCTGTGAAAAGCACTGATAGAGTGTGTCTTATCGTCACTGGTCCACCTAGAGGACAATGGCCTTCTCCTACCAGTTAGCTGCAGTGGTAGAGGTCTCTGCAGTAGATCTGAAGGTTCCAGGCCTGCTAGTGACCCAATATGGTTCCATAGGATGGAATTTTTGTTTTTACAAAAACACAGGAAATTACTTACACAGTTTTTTGTATGTAATTATATAGTGAGAAGAGTCACAGAATTATAGAAATGCAGGCCTGGAAGGCACTTTGATAGGGCATTTATTCTAGTCCCTGGCACTGAGACAGGACTAAGTATTTTCTAGACTATCCCTGGGTGGGTTTGTCTAACCTGTTCTTAAAAACCACCAGTGATGGAAATTCCACAACCTCCATGGGTAATTTGATCCAATGCTTAACTACCATTAAAGTTAGGAAGAGTCTAACCTAAATCTCCCTTGCTGCAATTTAAGCCCATTACTTTTTGTCCTGTCCTCAATGGTTAAGGAGAACAATTTATCACCCTCCTCTTTATGACAACCTTTTACATACTTGAAGACTGTTATCATGTCCCCCCTCAATCTTCTTTTTTCCCAGACTAAACAAACCCAGTTTTTTCAATCTTTTCTCATAGGTCATGTTTTCTAGACCTTTAATCATTGTTGTTGTTCTCCTCTAGACTTTTTCTAATTTGTCCACATTTTTCCTTGCCCATAATTGGAAACAGTATTCCAGCTGAGCTTTATCAGTGCTGAGTAGAGTGGAAAAATTCTCGTGTCTTGCTTACAACACTCCTGCTAATACATCCCAGAATGATATTCACTTTTTTGCAACAGTGTTACACTGTTGACTCATATTTAATTTGAGATCCACTATACCTCTTTTCTGCAGTACTCCTTCCTAGGCAGTCATTTTCCATTTTGTATGTGTGCAACTGATTGTTCCTTCCTAAGTGTAGTACTTTGCATTTGTCCTGACTTAATTTCATCCTATTTATTTCAGGCCATTTCTTCAGTTTGTCCAATTTTGAATTCTAATCCTGTCCCCGGAAGTGCTTGCAACCCCTCCCAGCGTGGTATTGTTTGCAAACTTGATAAGCGTATTCTCTATGCCACTATCCAAATAATTTATGCAGATATTGAATAGCACTGGACTCAGGACAGATCCCTGTGGGACCTCACTCCATTTGCCCTTTTAACTTGACTGTGAACATTAATAACTGTTCTTTGAGTACAATTTTCCAAGCAGTTGTGCACCAATAGCCGCACTTCCTGCATCGCTTGTCCTGATTCCTGTGGCGGACGGCTCCGTTCAGCAGGATGCAGTTGAGTCAAAGCTGGTGGATGAACCTCCAGTCAGCAAATCGGGTGAAGCTGCCCCTGGGAAGGAAGTGATTGCTGGTGTCCCACTTGCACATAATCTCAACGGCCTTGCCCTGGTGGGTTCCGTTTCAGGTTTTCCACGTATTGGCAGTGGATGGCATCCTTCTGGGCAGGGCCTGCTTTAGGTTTTTTGCCGCCCCAAGCAAAAAAATTTTGGCTGCCCCTTGTCCCAGCCCTGGGCATCTCGCTGGACCCCCTCCCTGCCCCAGCCCTGGGCTCTCTCCCCCCCCAACCTGCACCCTCCTTCCGCCGCAGCCCTGGGTCACTGGTAACTCGCTCCC